ACTTTCTTCGGGCATTGAGCGCCCTTCTCCTTGGGCCGTCTCCTTGGATCCGCCCTCACGCGCAGAAGTCGAACGTGAGATCAGGCTGTTGAAATTGCATAAGGCCGCAGGAGCAGATACTATTCCTCCAGCCCTCTTCAAGTTCGGTGGACCTGCTCTAATAGATGATCTACACGAGTTGCTAGTAAAACTTTGGGAGCAGGAGACAGTCCCGACAGACTGGAACCGCTCCGTCATTGTCCAAATTTTCAAGGAAGGCTCCCGTTTGGAATGTGGCAATCATAGTGGGATCAGTCTGATTTCGATTGCCTCTAAATTGCTTGCCTCTCTCATTCTCCACAGACTGACTGGCACTCGTGAAAGCCAAATTCGTGAAGAGCAAGCCGGATTTCGTCGAGGTCGGGGCTGCATTGACCACATCTTCACATTGCGTCAAGTGTTGGAGCACCGCCATGTTTATTGGTGCCCCACCGTTGTCGTGTTTCTTGACATAAAAGGTGCCTTCGACTCAGTCGATCGATGTGCCCTTTGGGACTGTCTGTTGAGGAAAGGTGTGCCTGATAAATATGTAAACATTATCAAAGCGCTGTACGCACATAGTTCGGGCGGGGTGAGGGTTTATGGCAAACTCTCGCCACCCTTCAGTATCATCAGCGGTGTGTGACAAGGATGCCCGCTGTCACCTTTCCTCTTCAACTTCGCTATTGATGAAGTCATGGAAACAGCGTTCGCTGGACACGACCTAGAAGGTGTGGAGCTACTCCCTGGTGAGCGACTTCTTGACTTGGAGTATGCAGACGATATTGCCCTAATCTGTGACAGCTCCCAAACATGCCAAACAGCACTGAACCGATTAGCACTGGCAGTCAGTCGTTTTGGGCTATGCTTTGCTCCATCAAAATGCAAAGTACTTCTCCAAGATTGGCAGGGACCCAACCATGCGCTAACGCTTGCTGGTGATCTGCTAGAAGTCGTTCAGGAATTCAAGTACCTGGGCAGCTATATTAGCACCCGTGGGATTGAAGATGAGGTTACGAACCGTATAGCAAAAGCTCGAGGTGCTTTTGCCAATCTCCGCCACCTGTGGCGCAGACGCGACATTACTCTCGCCCTCAAGGGCAGAGTTTACAACGCAGCCGTCCGTTCAACTCTCCTATATGGCTGTGAAACCTGGCCCATCAGGTCGACAGACATGAAGAGACTCGTCACGTTCGATCATCGCTGCCTTCGCAGCTTAGCTCATGTCAGGTGGGAACACCGCGTGAGCAATGAGCGTGTTCGGCGTCGCGTATTTGGTGCAGGAAGAGCGAGTGAACCGCTCAGCACGATTATATCACGCACCAGGCTCCGATGGCTGGGCCACGTGTTGCGAATGCCAGCACACCGACTCCCACGACGTGCATTGTTTGCGCGTTGTGGGTGCGGTTGGAAGAGGAGGAGGGGAGGCCAAGTGATGACTTGGTCGCGAGAAATGAAAACCCTCACTTCGAAATTGGCGTCGGTTGGTGCATCCCGACTGCCTGGCTGGGGTCCTAAGGACGGTGAACACGTTTGGCTGGACACACTTGCTGATATGGCTAGGAGCCGGACCCAATGGCGTTTGTGTTGTGAGTTCATTTGTCCATCCCCCTCCTGTTTAGCATCCCCTCCAATCACAATCTCAATCGTTAGGCATAATATGACTTTCTTTTACGGCAGCCAGCAGTTAGCTCTCCGGAATGATGTCCATCCGTTACTGGGGACTCAGCGGGCGTGCCACTGTTTGTTTGTCTTTCTTTTCTTGCCTTTTGTATTGCGGCACAATAGCTGAGGTGTTTTCCACCTCCAGCTAACGTGTAATGATGATGAAGATGAGGATGACTCCGATACCCAGTTCTTAGTTGATACCGGGGCGGACGTCAGCGTCATTCCCCCTATGCCAGGTGAGCCTACCGCTTCTCTGTGGACAAGCCTCAGTGCCGCCAATGGCACACCAATAGCCCCCTATGGTCATCGGTCACTTACCCTAGACCTAGGTCTTCGGCGTACGTTCCGCTGGGTATTCACCGTCGCTGCAGTCTCCTTTGCCATCATCGGCATTGACTTTTTCAGGCATTTCGACCTCTTGGTCAATGCGAAACGCCAGATGATAGTCGACACTGCAACAAAACTCAGCGTACGTGGCAGCACCGCCGATGTGACATCTATATCCCCGGTCTATGCATTTCCCCAGACCTCATCAGCCTACGCTAATCTCCTTGCTCAGTATCCCAAACTCGTTCAGCCAATGAACGCAGCTTTGCCCGTGGCAGCTCAAGTCACGCACCACATACGGACGAATGGCCCACCTGTGTCATGCCGTCCACGCCGATTATCGCCTGAGAAACTAAAGGTAGCTAGGGCGGAGTTTGAGCACATGCTTGAACTTGGAATAATCCGCCCTTCCGTCAGCCCGTGGTCCTCACCCCTACAGATGGTCCCCAAGAAATCTGGTGACTGGCGTCCTTGCGGTGATTACCGCGCACTCAATCGCCTAACCGTCCCAGATAGGTATCCCATCCCACACATGCAGGACCTTACCGCATGCCTCACAGGTAAGACGATCTTCAGCAAGATCGATCTGGTCCGCGCCTATCACAAGATACCTGTGGAAGCCAATGACATTCATAAAACAGCCGTCATCACTCCTTTCGGTTTGTTTGAATTTTTGAGAATGCCATTTGGACTGTGCAACGCCGCACAAACCTTCCAACGCTTCAACCACGATGTCACTCGTGGCCTAGACTTTGCATATTCCTACCTCGATGATATCTTAGTAGCCAGTTCATCAGAACAAGAGCACCTCGAGCATTTTCGAGCTCTCTTCCAGCGCTTGACCCAACACGGTGTCACAGTCAACCCGACTAAGTGCGAACTCGGCAAATCAACGGTAGAATTCCTAGGCCACCTCGTTTCATTGTCCGGTATCGAAGTCCTCCCTGCCAAGATCCAAGCAATCAAGGATTTCCTAGCTCCGACTTCCTTCAAGCACCTCCGTCGATTTTGCGGTTTGGTCAACTACTATCGACGCTTCATTCCGCGCTGCGCTCAGCTCATGCAGCCACTGACTGACTTACTCAGAGGAAAAGAACGTAAGTTCGCTTTCCCTGACACAGCACAGGCAGCCTTCGCCGAGCTCAAGGATGCTATCTCCAACATAGCCCTACTCGCTCATTCCGAATCGACTGCACCTCTTTCTATTACGACTGATGCCTCAGACGTAGCAGTAGGAGCCGTCCTCCAACAACACGTTGGTGGGCAATGGCAACCCCTTGGGTTCTTCTCCAAGCGCCTGCAGCCAGCGGAATCCCGCTACAGCACGCTTAGCAGAGAACTGCTGGCCATTTACCTAGCGATACGTCACTTCCGGCACACACTTGAAGGCCGCGCTTTCACGGTCTACACTGACCACAAGCCCCTTATATTTGCCTTCAACTCTGCTAGCGACAAATACTCACCACGGGAAACAAGACACCTAGACTTTGTCACGCAGTTCACTGCTGACATACGTCATGTCTCAGGTGTCGACAATCCCGTCGCCGACGCTTTCTCACGCGTCAACCTCACTCTGCAGTCTTTGCCTACCGTCGACCTTGCCGCAATGGCATCGGCTCAGGCTCAAGACGAAGACATACAGCGCACCCTGCACTCCACTTCGCTGCATGTGCAACCTGTTCCTCTCCAAATCACGGAAGGAACCATCCTCTGTGACACGTCCACAGGTTGTCCTAGAACGCTCGTGCCCGTCTCCTTCCGACGCACAGTCTTTGACGCACTGCACTCACTGTCACAGCCCGGTATCCGTGCATCTTTGAAACTGCTCACCGAACGTTTCGTTTGGCTACGCGTAAACAAAGATGATCGTACCTGGGCTCGCGCCTGCCTTCAATGCCAGCGCATGCGTTCACTACGCCCGACCCCGCCCCGTGATCAGACTAGAGATGTGCAAATGCACAGCAGACACTCTACCTGCACTCACGTCTTCCTCCGCACCGACGCAGTGCGGCGCCCCCTCCAGCCTCCCTACACTGTCCCTTTCAGAGTTCTGCAACGGACTCCGAAACATTTTACTATAGACCAGAATGGTCACCGAACAACGGTGCCCATCGACCGACTCAAAGTGGCTTTCTTTGACGAGCCACTTGCGGCTCATCCTGATGCTCTCCCACAAGCACCCGCACCTGTGGTGACTTCGCAAGCACTGGATAACCCGGATCCCTCCGAACCCCTTGATCGGCAACCCCAGGCAACCGACCGACGCGGTGGACAGAGGTGGTGCAGTCAGTTAAACAAATGGACGTTTCGAAGGTTAAAACAACCATAACATCCAATGTTACAGAGTTCTGAAAGAGCATGTTTTCCGGTGCACTACAATGGCCTCCCCCTAGGAGGCTGAAGGATGGAATCCTTCGATAGAGCTGTTAGTTGGGGAAACGGAAGGTGAGGGTGGATGCGAATGTTTGCAGGGGCTTGAGAACGGCTTCCAAATTGGGGTGTAGCAGATTTTGCTGGATCCGGTCTTTTGTTAGTTATTATTTATGACGATCGTGTGAACCAGAGTGCATCATCGGTGAGCCATCAGGGCGGGCTGGTCGGACTGCAAAAAATACTGGCTAGTCCAGAAAAAAGGCCGACAGGACTTTCCCATTGCTGCAGACCCGACGGTGCGCTTGGGAGGTGTCACTCACCCCACCGCACTTTAGTCCACGGTCCTCGTCCCACAATGAAATCCAGGCGTGCTCGTCCCACGATGGAATGCGGGTGTCCTCGTCGGCAATGCCTAAGCGACGTTTGGGGACCAATTCGTTCGTGGGTTTCTGCGATCGAGGGCGACTGTCTGTTCTTTGGGTGAGGACAGCTGGCGAGTCCCTCCAAGGTTGCGTTGAGCCGGTTGGCGAGTCACTCGACGGGTTGCCTGGGCAGTTCCGGCGGTTGAGTTTCTGGAAGGTAAAACTCAGAGGGGGTTGGCAAGGGTCGGGGAAGTGGCTTGACGCCGGAGAAGGAACATGGCATGTATGATAAAAGCAAATACGCTTTTTAGGTTTTTCAAAATGGTTTGGGTTTCTTTTGTCGATTTTGCAAAACGTTTGTGGGTGAGACGCAGGATAACCATTAAAGACGAAAAGGCGCGTTAATGGAAATAGCAAACGCTTACAAAATCGGAAAAACGGAGCAGACGTTTTACCTGTCCACCGCGTCGGTCGGTTGCCTGGGGTTGCCGATCAAGGGGTACGGAGGGATCCGGGTTATCCAGTGCTCGGGAAGTCACCACAGGTGCGGGTGCTTGTGGGAGAGCATCAGGATGAGCTGCAAGTGGCTCGTCAAAGAAAGCCACTTTGAGTCGGTCGATGGACACCGTTGTTCGGTGACCATTCTGGTCTATAGTAAAATGTTTCGGAGTCCGTTGCAGAACTCTGAAAGGGCCAGTGTAGGGAGGCTGGAGAGGGCGCCGCACTGCGTCGGTGCGGAGGAAGACGTGAGTGCAGGTAGAGAGTCCGCTGTGCATTTGCACATCTCTAGTCTGATCACGGGGCGGGGTCGGGCGTAGTGAACGCATGCGCTGGCATTGAAGGCAGGCGCGAGCCCAGGTACGAACATCTTTGTTTACGCGTAGCCAAACGAAACGTTCGGTGACCAGTTTCAAAGATGCACGGATACCGGGATGTGACAGTGAGTGCAGTGCGTCAAAGACTGTGCGTCTGAAGGAGACGGGCACGAGAGGTCTAGGACAACCTGTGGACGTGTCACAGAGGATGGTTCCTTCCGTGGTTTGGAGAGGAACAGGTTGCACATGCAGCGAAGTGGACTGCAGGGTGCGCTGTATGTCTTCGTCTTGAGCCTGAGCCGATGCCATTGCGGCAAGGTCGACGGTAGGCAAAGACTGCAGAGTGAGGTTGACGCGTGAGAGAGCGTCGGCGACGGGATTGTCGACACCTGAGACATGACGTATGTCAGCAGTGAACTGCGTGACAAAGTCTAGGTGTCTTGTTTCCCGTGGTGAGTATTTGTCGCTAGCAGAGTTGAAGGCAAAGATAAGGGGCTTGTGGTCAGTGTAGACCGTGAAAGCGCGGCCTTCAAGTGTGTGCCGGAAGTGACGTATCGCTAGGTAAATGGCCAGCAGTTCTCTGCCAAACGTGCTGTAGCGGGATTCCGCTGGCTGCAGGCGCTTGGAGAAGAACCCAAGGGGTTGCCATTGCCCACCAACGTGTTGTTGGAGGACGGCTCCTACTGCTACGTCTGAGGCATCAGTCGTAATAGAAAGAGGTGCAGTCGATTCGGAATGAGCGAGTAGGGCTATGTTGGAGATAGCATCCTTGAGCTCGGCGAAGGCTGCCTGTGCTGTGTCAGGGAAAGCGAACTTACGTTCTTTTCCTCTGAGTAAGTCAGTCAGTGGCTGCATGAGCTGAGCGCAGCGCGGAATGAAGCGTCGATAGTAGTTGACCAAACCGCAAAATCGACGGAGGTGCTTGAAGGAAGTCGGAGCTGGGAAGTCCTTGATTGCCTGGATCTTGGCAGGGAGGACTTCGATACCGGACGATGAAACGAGGTGGCCTAGGAATTCTACCGTTGATTTGCCGAGTTCGCACTTAGTCGGGTTGACTGTGACACCGTGTTGGGTCAAGCGCTGGAAGAGAGCTCGAAGATGCTCGAGGTGCTCTTGTTCTGATGAACTGGCTACTAAGATATCATCGAGGTAGGAATATGCAAAGTCTAGGCCACGAGTGACATCGTGGATGAAGCGTTGGAAGGTTTGTGCGGCGTTGCACAGTCCAAATGGCATTCTCAAAAATTCAAACAAACCGAAAGGAGTGATGACGGCTGTTTTATGAATGTCATTGGCTTCCACAGGTATCTTGTGATAGGCGCGGACCAGATCGATCTTGCTGAAGATCGTCTTACCTGTGAGGCATGCGGTAAGGTCCTGCATGTGTGGGATGGGATACCTATCTGGGACGGTTAGGCGATTGAGTGCGCGGTAATCACCGCAAGGACGCCAGTCACCAGATTTCTTGGGGACCATCTGTAGGGGTGAGGACCATGGGCTGACGGAAGGGCGGATTATTCCAAGTTCAAGCATGTGCTCAAACTCCGCCCTAGCTACCTTTAGTTTCTCAGGCGATAATCGGCGTGGACGGCATGACACAGGTGGGCCATTCGTCCGTATGTGGTGCGTGACTTGAGCTGCCACGGGCAAAGCTGCGTTCATTGGCTGAACGAGTTTGGGATACTGAGCAAGGAGATTAGCGTAGGCTGATGAGGTCTGGGGAAATGCATAGACCGGGGATATAGATGTCACATCGGCGGTGCTGCCACGTACGCTGAGTTTTGTTGCAGTGTCGACTATCATCTGGCGTTTCGCATTGACCAAGAGGTCGAAATGCCTGAAAAAGTCAATGCCGATGATGGCAAAGGAGACTGCAGCGACGGTGAATACCCAGCGGAACGTACGCCGAAGACCTAGGTCTAGGGTAAGTGACCGATGACCATAGGGGGCTATTGGTGTGCCATTGGCGGCACTGAGGCTTGTCCGACAGAGAAGCGGTAGGCTCACCTGGCATAGGGGGAATGACGCTGACGTCCGCCCCGGTATCAACTAAGAACTGGGTATCGGAGTCATCCTCATCTTCATCATCATTACACGTTAGCTGGAGGTGGAAAACACCTCAGCTATTGTGCCGCAATACAAAAGGCAAGAAAAGAAAGACAAACAAACAGTGGCACGCCCGCTGAGTCCCCAGTAACGGATGGACATCATTCCGGAGAGCTAACTGCTGGCTGCCGTAAAAGAAAGTCATATTATGCCTAACGATTGAGATTGTGATTGGAGGGGATGCTAAGCAAGAGGGCGAAGGACAAATGAACTCACAACACAAACGCCACTGGGTTCGGCTCCAAGCTATATCAGCAAGTGTGTCCAGCCAAACGTGTTCACCGTCCTTAGGACCCCAGCCAGGCAGTCGGGATGCACCAACCGACGCCAATTTCGAAGTGAGGGTTTTCATTTCTCGCGACCAAGTCATCACTTGGCCTCCCCTCCTCCTCTTCCAACCGCACCCACAACGCGCAAACAATGCACGTCGTGGGAGTCGGTGTGCTGGCATTCGCAACACGTGGCCCAGCCATCGGAGCCTGGTGCGTGATATAATCGTGCTGAGCGGTTCACTCGCTCTTCCTGCACCAAATACGCGACGCCGAACACGCTCATTGCTCACGCGGTGTTCCCACCTGACATGAGCTAAGCTGCGAAGGCAGCGATGATCGAACGTGACGAGTCTCTTCATGTCTGTCGACCTGATGGGCCAGGTTTCACAGCCATATAGGAGAGTTGAACGGACGGCTGCGTTGTAAACTCTGCCCTTGAGGGCGAGAGTAATGTCGCGTCTGCGCCACAGGTGGCGGAGATTGGCAAAAGCACCTCGAGCTTTTGCTATACGGTTCGTAACCTCATCTTCAATCCCACGGGTGCTAATATAGCTGCCCAGGTACTTGAATTCCTGAACGACTTCTAGCAGATCACCAGCAAGCGTTAGCGCATGGTTGGGTCCCTGCCAATCTTGGAGAAGTACTTTGCATTTTGATGGAGCAAAGCATAGCCCAAAACGACTGACTGCCAGTGCTAATCGGTTCAGTGCTGTTTGGCATGTTTGGGAGCTGTCACAGATTAGGGCAATATCGTCTGCATACTCCAAGTCAAGAAGTCGCTCACCAGGGAGTAGCTCCACACCTTCTAGGTCGTGTCCAGCGAACGCTGTTTCCATGACTTCATCAATAGCGAAGTTGAAGAGGAAAGGTGACAGCGGGCATCCTTGTCACACACCGCTGATGATACTGAAGGGTGGCGAGAGTTTGCCATAAACCCTCACCCCTGCCCGAACTATGTGCGTACAGCGCTTTGATAATGTTTACATATTTATCAGGCACACCTTTCCTCAACAGACAGTCCCAAAGGGCACATCGATCGACTGAGTCGAAGGCACCTTTTATGTCAAGAAACACGACAACGGTGGGTCGCCAATAAACATGGCGGTGCTCCAACACTTGACGCAATGTGAAGATGTGGTCAATGCAGCCCCGACCTCGACGAAATCCGGCTTGCTCTTCACGAATTTGGCTTCCACGAGTGCCAGTCAGTCTGTGGAGAATGAGAGAGGCAAGCAATTTAGAGGCAATCGAAATCAGACTGATCCCACTATGATTGCCACATTCCAAACGGGAGCCTTCCTTGAAAATTGGGACAATGACGGAGCGGTTCCAGTCTGTCGGGACTGTCTCCTGCTCCCAAAGTTTTACTAGCAACTCGTGTAGATCATCTATTAGAGCAGGTCCACCGAACTTGAAGAGGGCTGGAGGAATAGTATCTGCTCCTGCGGCCTTATGCAATTTCAACAGCCTGATCTCACGTTCGACTTCTGCGCGTGAGGGCGGATCCAAGGAGACGGCCCAAGGAGAAGGGCGCTCAATGCCCGAAGAAAGTGATAACTCAGGTTGGTTAAATTGCATAGCAAAGTGTTCAGCCCAACGCTCCAAACGCTTTGACAAGCTGTGGATCGGATGCCCACTCTCGTCGCGTATAGTCTCGCTAACACCAGGTCTCCTGCTGCCTGTTGCCCGTATCAGACGGTATAACTTACGATGATTACCAATGGCAGCGGCTGTTTCCATCTCAGAGGCACGATGAGACCACCAGGTTTCGCGGTCCTTCTTTAGGCTAGCACGTAGTTTCGCCCTGAGATTTTTGCGAGATTCAGTGTATTCGCTTCCAGCCGGAATACGTCGGCGAGCATCCATAAGTTCCAGAGACTGTGTAGAGACCCAATGTTCGGATTTGCAATTTGTTTTGCCACATGAAGACATGCCTGCTAATAGCAACACTTGACGAGTGTGCGACCAGTGATCTTCAACGGTGTTTAGTGGGCGCTTACTCAGCCCAGATGTCAGCGCATCTTGGTACACATTCAGAACATCTGACTTCGCCAGCTGGCTAGTGTCAATCCGTTCACATCGACGTCGCGGACGTCCACCGAAACGGCACCTCTATGTCGGCACAGACAAGTGCGTGGTCAGAGTCCACGCTCGTGCTCCAAATCGAGCGACAGTTTGGACACAGCCTCTCCAGCGGTAACTGATCGCGATATGATCGATTTGCGTCCATGACTGGCCCGAGGCTGGTGGCCGCCAAGTCACACTTCTGCGGGTGCTGTGTCGAAAATTAGTGCTCGCGAGAAACAGGCGAGCATCTTCACACAGCTGGAGCAATCGCTCACCATTATCATAACGGGAGCCTACACCATGTTGGCCGCCCAGATGAAGCTCATCAGAGGACAATTTTCCGACTTGGGCGTTTAGATCGCCAGCCAACACCACAGTATCCGTGCTTCTTCTGTAACGAAGGAGCTCGTGAAGTTGCTGATAGAAATCATCTTTTACCGAATCAGTGCTACAGTTTGTAGGGGCGTAGGCCGCAATGACAAACAGGCACCGTTTGTCCCCCGCGCGACTTCGAAGCACGGAACGAACCAGCTAATCTAACGGCGCACATCCTACTGTTTACTGGGATCCAATCAAGCAGGGCAGCTTCAGCCCGGGGACTCAAAACAATGCCGACGCCAGCTTGACCGGCATTTGAAGCTGCATCATCGCCAGATAGGCGCAATGAGAATGTGCCGCCAGTGTTGCATGTGGGGGATCTCAGGGTAAGCACGGAGCTCGAATCCTGCAGGCGGGTTTCTGATAAACAGCAAATATCGATCGATAGGGTCTCTAGTGTGCGGGCAAGTGCTGCCTGTTGGCCAATCTGCAGCAAAGTGCGCACGTTGAGGCATGCCAATCTTAGCGAGGACACGAGGACTCCAAAGGGAAACGGATGAACTGACATTGTCCGCTTGGTTGCACATGGACTTATCGACTGGATTGGAGCGAGGCCCTGCGATTGTGTGTGATTTGAAATTAGAAGACAAGCGACTATTGAAGTAAGCTGGGGGAGGGCCGAGAATTGGGGGATTGAAAATGGGGGGATATAAGTAAAGTTGGAGCGGGACAATAAGGATGCAGAAGCGCAAGAAGGGGTATAAGAAGACGGGAAGGCCTGAGCAGTAGCATCCAAACCCCTATCCACCCTGCTCGATGCAGCAGATAGGGCGCCGTTTATTATCCTCTGCGACGGCCAGAGCATCAAGAAACTGTTGTAGGAAAGGTTCATTGTATTGCGTGGGCAGAATACTGTCAGGTTGCCCAGGCCTAGACAGGAGAACGATTAGGGTTCTCAACCAAAGCCTTTGGTTCAAAAACCTTACCGCAAGGCAGCGGGTTTTGGCACTGGACTACAGAGCCCGTTTTATGAAATGAGGAGCCACCCCCATTCCAACCCCCAACCTGGAGGACCAGGAGGCTGAGTTTGTCTGGCCTCTAACCATCGACCAATCTGGTATGAGTGGCTCTAAAGGTGCAAAAAAAGCACCACCCAGCATAGCTCAATGGATCTCTGAGGCACGCAAACCATCGCACCACGGTAAGGTCCAGCCTCATCGGAGTCATAATCCCTAATGTAGATGAGACGACTTTGGGCTTTGCCGACGTTCGTGTCCATTATAGCCCTGCGTGGCGAATCATCTATAGCGGAGTAGCTACATGGCTGTACGCACTTACGTGCTTTAGTACCGAAACGCGAGTGGTAGAAGCAGTAACCTGAGGCATCAGGTTTTGTGCGACGGTGCGATGATCCAGAGCGGTTGCAGTGCTTACGTTTTATGGTGAGTTCTTTGATCTGGCGCTGAAGCGACGCTATCTGCAATGATAACGCGTCTATTGCCGACGGAGGGCTAGTCGCGCCTGT